AGCATTCGCTGGCTGGGGAATTCTGGGAGTTGAAGTCCAGACATCTTCAAGTTGCCAAGGTTGAAAAACACTGCCCTAGAGTCAGAGATGATTAACAGAGAGAAAACTTTACCTTTTTTTTTAACTGTCATAAGTTGTGAAGGCTCAGTGGCATTTTAAGCACTATTTCATGGTTAAGAGCTATGCAAGTTTCCACCAATGACCTCCATTATCTCAGGTTGTGAGGGATTCCCCACTAGAATCCATAAACATCTAAACAGCTGCAGGTTATCCTTGTCAAATTAACAAGCATAGTACATCAATTAATGCAGAGTTTTATCTGCTCTTGAGTTTAATCATGCAACGCCATTCTTATGCTCTGTGTTTTCATTCTGTTGCACGCATTCCCATGGAATTCACAAAACCAACTTTGGAAGGACTACGTTCTTAATTTGCTTAATAACCCCCTGGCTTTAGTACGCTTTAAATAATGTTATCGGGTAAATTACATAATTCAGGTTGTAGAGTCATTTGACAAAGTAAACCTGTTTCAAGGAAGGGACACAATTTATATACAACTGGTATAATTTCATTTGTCATTTATGCCTAATTAACTAATTACTTAATTCATTCTAATGTCAGAATTGTTTTCTGCTTATGGAATTAATTTTCCCCATTGCATCCAGGGTATTTTTAGCAGGCTTACAAATCAGTCAGGGTTTGTAATTAGCAGCCATTCTATTAATTGTGTAGATATAATTAACTCTTTGCTCCTGAATAACTTTTCAATTACTTTATTGATAATATCTCAAATTAACAAGATAATGAATGGCCTATATATTGTAGGTTTTGCTATTCTCAATAGCACTGTGGTGCTGTTCCCTTTGTATCTTTGTTATTTCATTGGTAAATACTTTCATCTCCCTCATTTACTTTAACAAAACAGAATTTGATTTCAAGATAATTTCAAAGGAGAAGGAAATGTCTATGGGTGGAGTGTGATTCTTGCCCTTACTGAATATTGTGGTGACTTGGAAGAAAGTTACGTTTCTGCTGCTTTTCATTTCAGGAAGTGATCAGGAATCTGGTGAAGAGATATGTTGCTGCCATGATAAGGAATTCAAAAACCAATGAAGGCTTAACTGAAGAAAACTTTAAGGTAAAATCTCAATGGAGGGTTAGTATGAAAGAAAGAGATGGAAAGATGGGGGGAGGGAGAAAGATGAAGGGAGAGAGAGAGAGAAATGGAGACAGAGAGATGGAGAGGGGGGCAGAGAATGAATAAGATTCACATGCCATGGTTCAACCATGCTTATTGATATTATCAATTATATTGAAGTAGTTAATATATTATGCTAAGCCATAAATTGTTTAACTATATTTTTGCTAAATGAATCACCTTTAGCTGACTTCATACATCATGCTAAATTATAATGGACATGATTTTGGCTGGTCCTGGTGAACTATTTTATGTCCAAGAAGCATCTCATTTTTTCTATTAAATATGACACAAGAACAGTTTTCCCCTGAACGCCATCAGTCTGCAAAAACAAATAATTCCCTCATCACTGTCAAACTATTCACTAAGGCTACATTACTATTACTATTAGTCTTCTCATTGTTCCTATCCCCCATCTCCTCCCACTTATGACTGCATGGCTGTAACTTTGTTCCTTGTATCCTTACGATTGATACTGATATTGATTGTTTCCTGATTGCTGATTTGTACCCCAATGGTACCTGAGTATCATTAAGTGTTGTACCTTATGATTCTTTACGGATGATGTATCTTGTCTTTTTATGTCCACTGAGAGCATCT